TCTCATTTCAAATACCTCCACCTCTGAACATGAGTGCTCACATTACATTTACAACAAAGTTTCTGAAATATGAAACATGGTCATTCCCTAAGAATTAAAAGAATAATATTTTTAAAAATCAGCTGGCTCCATGGTGGAACACTTGCCTTGCATGCACAAGGCCCTGGCTTGGATCCCCACACTGAAAAAATAAACAAAATCCACCTCCAACAAACTTATGTGAGAAGAATACATGATCGAATGCATCAGACTTTGCTGTCCTAAAAATCCACAAGGACTACACTGGAACAATCTGGAAAGAGTTTTTTAAATGATTTGTTGGCTAGAAAAGAAAAGAAAAGAAGGTCAACCTCCAATAAATCACTTTGTGGATGAACTCTCAGGATAGGGGGTATAAGGGAGGTGAGAGGACATTCAGTCAGCCAATCAGAATTTGCCTGCATACATTCTAGACATATGGTGGCAGCTGAGAACAGCGCTGTGGACCTCACATTCTACTGAGAAAGGACAGACAGTAGATAATACTTAAAGTTACATGCAAGATTTTCATGTAACTTTAAGTATTAAGAAAAATTAAACAGAGTCAGGGGGCTTGTTAAAGTAAAATTTGGAATATTTCTACTAAGAAAGGAAAAACAACCTAGGACAACTTAAATAGAACTACAATCCCATCCTAGGGGATACTTTTTAAGAGATAAAAAGAAAATGACACTCCAATAGCTGGAGTGTCAGCAAGGCCTCTCCAGTAACTTGACTTTTGAGCTAAGGCCTAAATCTGTGAAAAATTAAAATGACTGAATCAGGTGTGGGTGGCACATGCCTATAATTCAGGGACTCCCCAGGCTGAGGCAGGAGGATCGCAAGTTCAAGGCCAGCCTCAGCAATTTAGCAAGGCTCTAAGCAACATAGTAATACCCTATCTCAAAATAAAAAATTTTTAAAAGGGGGGCTGGGGATGTGGCTCAGTGGTTGAGTGCTCCTGGGTTCAATCCCTGGTACCAAAAAAAAAATCCCCCTGTGTCCTTTCCTTGTGTGCCCTTGCTGCTCCAGCTTTCCTCATTGTTAGGCAGGTCACTCCCCGTTCCCCCATCCCATCAGTCAGCACTCTTTATTGAGTCTCCCCATACAAGGTGATCCACCTAGAGAAGAAATCCCACAGGTGTGCTGCTGTTATGCTGGAGCTTATAGTAATGAGACTGACCTGAGCAACC